TGGTCTTTGTATTTTGTTATCTTCTCCAATTCTTTTTCTTTTATTCTGCTGTCTGCAGTGCAGCTCGCGGAACAGTGGTGTTAATGTGGGGCCTCCAGAACTGTCTGTGTCGCTGCATTCTGAACCAATGATAACTTCCAAATACTCTTCAAGAATAGTCCCATATGGAGCGTGTTGCAATAATCCAAGTGGGGGACGACCAGCATGAGAGTGACTGAGTACATGGCCTCATGATCCAGAAAAGGATGCAATTGGCATACTGTATGAAGTTGTGCAAGGTCTCTCCTAACCAAAACTGCCAAATTAATTTCAGAAATAAGAATGACAAGCAAGAAATCGTTTTTTGGACTTATAAAACAGCTGTATCTTTTGAACATCCTACTGTGGTTATAGTCATGGTTATGGACTCTTAAGGTTGTGGTATATTATTTTTTGAAAATGATATTTTGATCCTTTTTTCTCTAGCTAAATTAATGCTATGGAGCAATCCAGATCTCAGAATTAATTTTAAAAAACTAAGGGACTGGTTTGGACAAAACTCAGCAGCACTTTTTCGTGCGGCTACTGATAAAAACAGGATTGCCAACATGATCGCCAACATCCGATAACGAATATGGCACAACAAGAAGTACCCACTGTTAACAATATCTACTGATATCCCAGTTGGACTATACAGTCTCAGCCACCCTCTTTACATTTTCTGACATTCACACACCCCACACGTCCCTGGACACAGTTCAGTTTCCTTTTTAGCAAAGCTACTGTATCTGCTGCTCTCCTACAGTCCCCTGGGTCCTAGAATGGGCAGAACTGATCCAGTACAGGAGACATGGATTTTTGTTTTGATCTGCATCATGGCTTGCCCTAGACTAGAGCAAACTTCAGCACTTCTAATACGTTCAGCTACTTGCACCCTGTGTATTAACTGCAGTCAATAGATTAAACTCTATGGACATCTTTTTTTGTAATGGAATTACTTGGCTTGCTGCAAAGGTTGGAATCTATTGACATATCAATGTGAACTTAGCAAACATTTACTGTTGACAGCAAGGCCTGGTAATCTATTGTCCTCCTGTGGTTTTGGATAGTGCTATATTGCATATCCCGGATTTAGAGTCTTGCCTGATACGTTTGTCATGTAGCTTCATTGTAAATAGTGTTTCCTTTCGCCATATTAAGATGGGGGAGTTCAAGTCCACACATCTTAAAATGGCAAAGATTGGGAAACACTGATTTACAATGCAGATAATTATACACAGGGCTTTTTTTCTCATAGAACGCCCAGAACGGAGTTCCGGCACCTTTTTTGGATGGAACCTTATAGGGTAGGCAAGGCGGGTTGTATGATGTGTGTGAGTTCCGGCACCTTTTTTTTTTTTTTTAGAAAAAAAGCACTGATTATAAAATGGTGTTTGGCTCTTCTCGACACAACAGCTGATTGATTCAAAGCTCTTGTTTCGCCAAAACACTTTTCAAAATTCTTGAAGTTCTGTGACAGAATTATAGACAGGTAATCCCCGAGTTCAAAGTTACGTGCTTACAAGCAAGTCCCAAAGTTACGAATATTGCAGCACCACAGCAGTTGTTCGTCCTTACAAGCGACCGCAGTGGCTCTGCAACATTCACCCTGGTTATTCCCTCCCCACCCCCACCCCAGGCCTCCCTAGGCACCAGGCCTTTAATACGCACCCTATGAAGATCAAGATCCTTCGCTTTCTTGGCTGCTCCAGGCCTTCGGTGCGTTCGCAGAGAATGGAGGCCTAAAGTAACGTGAGATCAGTGGGGCGAGATCTCACACTACTGATCTCACGTTCTCTCATAGTACATTAGGCCTCTGTACTCTGCAACAGAGTAGAACTGAAGCTGGAGGACACTTCCATGTGCCTCCGGAGGCTGGATTGGGTCTCTGGAGGCCTTTTCCAGGCCTCTTCCACCCAGATCTGAGGCTGGGGAATGCTTCTGCGTCCCCCCCGTGGCCCAATCTGGGCTCTGGAGGCGTGTTCCAGGCCGCTACGGCCCGGATCGGAGGCTGGGGATGCTTCTGCGCCCCACCGCAGCTCGATCCTGGCTCCGGAGGCATTTTCCAGGCCGCTACCACCTGAATCTGAGGCTAGGGAACGCTTCCGTACCCCTCCCCGGTGGCCTGATCTGGGCTCCGTAGGCGTTTTCCAGGCCTGATCGGGCCACAGGGGGGCTGCAGAAACATTTACCGGCCTCAGATCCGGGCATCAGTGGCCTGGAAAAGGCCTCCGGAGCCCAGATCGGGCTGTGGGGGGGTCGCGGAAGCGTTATCCAGCCTCAAATCCAGGCGGCAGCAGGAACCGCAGCAGAGAGGAAACAGATTTTTTTTCCAGGTGAGTCCGGCGCAGCAGGAAGGGAGGGGGACGCATGTGATATCTTAATGGGTTGGGGAGGCCTTAATGGGCCTGTTCCATCACTAGGCCTTCCATGGCCTTCCCACCCTGAGATAACTGATAAAACACACGAGCCACGTGTGTTTTAACAAGCAAGGGAGTGATCTCGTTGGAGATACGAGAGTCATTCTACAAGTTTTCAAGTTATGAGTGGAATGGGCAGGCTCCCTTATACTCGTGACTTGAGGACTACCTGTATATATACAGTATTAAAATTGTGAACCAAGTTTTAATTTTCAGAATTCTTCATAAGGTTGAGAGTTAAAATGAAACCGTTAGTGACTTCTTTCGGGAATGCAGCCTTCCTACTTTGCTTAGCCCAGGGGTGTCCAAATTTGGCAATTTTAAAGACTTGTGGACTTCAACTTCCAGAATTCAACAGCCGGCGTGCCTGGCTGGGGAATGTTGGTAGTTGAAGTTCACAGGTCTTAAAAGTTGCCAAGGTTGAACACCCTAGGCTTAGACTGAGAAAGCCTTGCAGAAAATAATGAAGATTGACTGCTGTTCTGTGTGACAATTGTATTACTGATAGTCTGCAATGTTCACTCATTGATATGATAAATGATCATCCCCAGTCATAGGATAAAAATTCAGACTAATCCTCCTCCCGCAGACCCTCATAGCTGGCTTTCATCGTCGTTCTCTGCTTCCCGTCTGCTGGGCTTGCCATCACAGCCACACATGGAAAGCCCCACATGGCTCCGGGGCGTCTTGCTGCACAACAGCCCTGGGGTTGCCTGCATCCCTGCAAGCTTTACCTCACCCAGCAGCAGGCACCCCCAGCCCTGCCACCAATGCACATCTTCACAGCCTCCCTCAGGCCGGCTACACTCACACCCTGCCTTGCCAGTCTCTCGTGTACCCTCTCACCTGATAGCAGCCACGTACCTGCCTCCTAGCCTGTTTGCAAGCCACCTGGGACTTGGACCTTCCTGCCCGCTTCCACTGACTTTGCTTGTGAGAAGCCGATAACAAGTTGTGAAGAGGTCCTCACTTATTGAGAGCAACGGAACTGCTGTGATTGTGGTTGTAAAAAATGATGCAGTGACATGTTTCGCTTTATAAGTTTAGCATTTAGTGAAGGACATTCCAATCCCAATTATGGTCATTAACTGAGAATTATCTGTACCTGTTAAATTTGAGTTTGCTTTTATGGACCACACCACTTTGCTTTACAGAAATGAAATAGAATTTACAAATAAGATAAATGGACTGCCTTCATATAACTCGCTCAACTCCATTTTCTGGGTTGCCACAATACGTTTAGTTGCAACTGAATAGGGCTGGGTCGATAGCGAGTTTAAACAAATACAGCCTAACACACTGCACAGTGTTCCCTAATCACTGCAGAGCTCTGCTAATCCATAATAACAGTAGAAACCCAATGATGTGACACAGTTAAGGCACTACCTATTTTCTTAACGCACATGTAGTTTCTGACAGATACCTGGTTTTCTTCCCAGTATTCCTTCCAGTAATATTGATAAAGGAGCAGGTCGGACAGCAAAAGCAGGGAACAGCAGCACCAAGCAGACTTTGAAAAATCTAAGCAGGATTGGATGTATTTAATCCTTGGCGGGCAGCTTACCCAAAAAAACTCAAGGCTATGGCCTAGACTGGAAAGTAAAAAAACACATCTTGGAAGAAGGCAATGGCAATCTGTTCTGAACTATTGCCAAGAAAACTTAAATGTCCCAGAAGATAAATTCAATAATGTTTGTTGCCTCTAAGCAAGATGGGCGCCATGCAAGTTTAATAAATAAAATAAAATCTTGTTGTCTAACCAAACTGAGAGCCAACGACTTGCTATGATGTTGACTACACAGAATTCTAAACAGATTCAGATTTTCCAGAATCATTTGATATTACCATGATTAGGGAGGGACAAAGGCCCAGAGAGAGACAGTGGCAAGAGGTTGAGATAGAGAACAAGAACAAGGTGAAGGAGAAGAGAGGGTGTTGGTCATGAGGTGAAAGTTTGGCAATTTTAGGACAATATTGAAGGCCACTTGAACTTCTGGCAACATATAGGCTAGTTGAGTGTTTCTGAAAGTTGGCAACTTTCAGATGTGTGGACTTCAACTCCCCAAATTCCCCAGCCAGTCCATGCATCTGAAAGTTGCCAAAGTTGACAAACTCTGAGCTGAACTAGGGGAGACAGTCCCCCCTTGTCTACATAGCTGACCCCCCAGTCCCGTTTCCCAATTGGTATTGTTTTTCAGGGATATAAAAACAAGAGAGATTATGCCTCCAATATGCTGGATGCACCTATTTATTATTTTTTTTTAAATCTTTCAAAATCCAAAAAGGACCCTACATTTTCAAGCACACCTCACTGCCTTGCTTCCTTTGTATATGCCTTTCCCCTAAATAAGGTTCACAGTCACAGTACCTTCTTTATCCGGGATAGATGTACCAGTGAATTGGTTGGATAAGCACTGATGTGCCAGCAAGTTGGTTGGATAAACATTGTTTCTTTGTTCTTAGCAAATAACCAATTTATATTTTGATCTTAAATTCTTGACTCTATGTGTGTTGAAGTATGCAACCGTGGTGAAGAATAACTTTAAACCGGTTTTTTTTCAGAGCAAGGCAACACTTCCTTTCTTTTTTTTATTCAAAAAGGCCCTGGTGGCAGGAATATAGTGTAAAAATCATTGGAAAAACTAAAAGGCATTGTTACATATTGGAATATACACTTTGTACAAAAAAAATTACACATCACGAGCAGTTCTCTCTTTTTCTTTGAGGTTCATCTGCAGAAGATGAGGACTCAATAATTCATAGGTCCTGGGATCTGAACATTGAGACCCCCATAGTCCAACATGTACATCGGCCATTGCTGCAGGGATAAAGGAAGAGGGAAAAGGCATTACAAACCGTCTATTCAGAAAAAGAAATTTAAAAACTCCAACACAGAGCAACTGCTGCCTCGAGCAAAGACTCTGCATATACTAACTATAGCTACATTTAGGAAGCCTTTTGTTATTATGCGTTACTTAGAGTTGGGCTGAAAAATCATTCAGGTTTTTTTTAATCATATGTTATTAAATAAACGACATTTTTTTAAAAAAGTAACCTCCTCCCCCAAATTAATCAGTTGAACTGCTTTATTCTGTCCTGTTTATTTATTTAATCTATATGGCCACCCATCTTACAGATGTGGCCCTGTCTAAGAACATGTTAAAAATAATACAAAAACACTCCTATTAATGACACATTAAACACTTACAATCATTACTGGGAAGAAACCCACCAACACGCTCAATAATACGCTTTTATTTCACAAGCCCTTTAACCTCCTAACACCCATGCCTTGGAAAACATCCAGGTCTTCAGTGCTTTCCCAAATCTAATCCTAGTGGAATGGTGGTTCCAGAGGGCAAGTGCTGTGATACAATTAGATTCCAGGAGATGGCATTATTTAATTGAATGGACCCAAAGAATGCCCATCTTGTCTTAGGTTCAGAATGATATACACCATCTACTTTCCGTTAAGCTCTCAGGTGAAGAGGTATAGATGTGATATTATGTTATGTGATCATTTTAAGGATTTTACATGGCTTCCACAAACTCTCTTGGAGGGTGTGATGGAATGTTGTCCAGATCCCCCGGAGGGAGGGGGTGCATTCCAAAGAAGCAAGAGACATTGCAGTTTAGATAGTTTGTGTGAGAGAAAGAGAGTGAAGACGGCTCCTCCCTAACAGCTCCCAGAATATAGGGTTCATGGTGCAAGTCACCTGATTTAGTCTGATAATATTTCTATTAGTGAGGAACTATAAAGAAAACTGCTTAGAAGAATTTCAGTGAATCTCTCTTGGGGTTTGGAGCCTTATAGAAGAGATGGTTTCTCTATTTTTTACATTATTTTTAAATTGTTATCCTGGGTGATGTTTTTTACTTGTCTTAGCCACCTGGGGGCAATATATAATTTGTTTTATTTGGAACTCATCAAATATAAGTAGGCATTGACCCTATCATATGTCATGTACACCTGTAGTCTATGTCCACCTCATCAGTGTCAAATTTGTTCTAAATACAAATGTGTTTTGCTTTCTGGTCTAAATACCGGAATTCTACTTTTCAGACATTTCTTAATGTACAGGATGTGCATTTAAAGTTTTTATACTGAGCTGCTTTGCAGCATTGTCCACAAGGAAGTGATCAAAAAAGTCAAGATAGCAACTGTACACAAAAAAATGGACAGGGCCTTGGCTACAGTCACGGCTGCCATCTTGACTTTTTATTACCTTCCCCACGAACACCTCTGTCCCTTTGCCTTGTAAGCAAAGCAGAAATGTGAAGTTCTCTTGCCCGCTCTTCCAGCGATGTAGGATTCTTCTCTTTCTTTGGCATCGCTCTCTTTCTTTGTTGCCTCTCATTAGGACAAGCCTTATACTGACCTTTTCACTTGCTGGACAACACCGCCGCCTTTGCCTGACAGCCAGAAGTGGTGGCACTCTCCAACAAGCAAGGAGGTAAAAACAAGGATTGCGGCAGTAAGAGGCAGCAGAACCTACTATAGGAATATTCCTTTTGTAGAATACCTTCTGCAAGGTCAGCCTTCCTACTGGAGCCATACATCCCAAAAGAAAACATTGGCTGCCAGGCACATTTCTGCCTTCTCTGGTAGCCAAAGGAGACACTACCACTACCACAGAGGAAGAAGAAGAAGACATTTCGCTTCTCATCCAAGAAGCTTCATCCTTTCATCCCCAACCGTCCAATCACAACTGATGGAGCTTCCTGAATGAGACGCGAAACAACTTCTTCTTCCTCAAGGAAAAAACCCGTCCAGTTGCTTTTTGAAAAAGCACCACTGAGACCTGGATGACTGAGAATCATAGACCAGAGATCTCTATAGACCAGAGACTGAGTGCCCAAAAACTGGCCCCGCCCTTGCCCGACCCCCTGCCCCGCCCTCACCCCGCCTGCCCGCAGGGCCACTCACCACCTCCAGGGCCCGCCGCACATCGCCCAGGCAGCCCAGCAGCGCCATGGCAGCCATGCCCTCTCCCCGCACCCTGCAGCATCAACTGTGCACTATGGGGTGTGAGGGCAGAGTCTTGTCTATGCTGCCTGGCTGCCATGTCCTTGGCTGCGCTGCTCCACGTGGGCCACGCTTGGGGGCGACTCTCCTCCAGGGGGGCTGCTGGTGAGGGGGTCTCGGGGGGAGGCAAGTCTGGGGCAATGGCACGTGTGCCCACAGAGAGGGCTCCGAGTGCCGCCTCTGGCACCAGTGCCATAAGTTCGCCACCACTGCCATAGACTCTCAGGTTCTTCCTCAACGGAAATCTGAATGTTCACAAACAAGAACATTTCCACTCGAAAATACCAGTTTCCCAATGTGTCTTTTTGATCCTGATGGTCTCCCAACACGACCTTCAGGCAGGCCATTGGGTTGGGTTGGGGCCATTGGGTTGGGTTGGGGCAATGAATCTTAAAGGTTTGACCTGGTTTACTTTCCCCTATATCACCATGAGCATTAAGAATCATCTCCAGAATCAGTACTAAAGCAAAGGAAACAGGGAAGATTGGGCAGAATTGTCCATTGTGATAGGATATATCTGCACAATGATTCTTCTCACTAAAATGCCCAGTTATTGCAACCTGGCATTGGAAGGGTGACTCCTGAAGACTGGTCATCTCATGACTTTCTGTTTGACATGAAAAGAGATACAGTATGACACTAAAATGTCTATGGGGATTCTCAATCATCCAGGTCATGGTTGTCCCAAAGATGCTTTTCCAAAAGGCAACTGGACTTTCTTGGTTTTTTTCTTTAAAAATGTTTCACTTCTCATCCAAGAAGCTTCACAATTGAAGAAGCTTCTTGGATGAGAAGCGAAACTTTTTTCAAAGGAAAAAAACCCAAGAAAGTCCAGTTACTTCTCGGAAAAGCACCTTCAAAAATTTATTTTTTAAATTTATTTAAATCGACCTTTCTTTGGAATACTCCAGGTGGCATGCATAGCAGTATCCTCTCCAATTTTTCATCACAATAAAAATCTTGTCAAGTTGGTCTAAGAAAGCCTGACTGGCCCCAAATAACCCAGAAGGCTTCCACAGCAAAGGGCAAACTTGAAACAGGCCTTCCTAGATCCTAATCCAACACTTTAATCATTACACCACACTGTGTTTGGGGCTAGAAGGATTGTTTTGTGGTCTATATTCTGCTCTCAGGATAATCTATGCTCCTTTTGGTCCCAGAGTCTTATTTAGGACCAGTTCAAATTAAAAATTATGTTCTGCTTTCCTTGTTCTTGGGTAGAGGCAGTCCTTTCTTTTTGTCCTTAGTGTTGGCTAGGACTTCATCTTGGGTCTCTCAGAATATGGTTCTCAAATTAGCACTCACTTGGATTGAAGTCTACATCCACACCAGCATCTGCTCAAATATCTGAATTTTGGACAAGAAGGGGAGGAAACTAGGTGCTCCTGTTTTGGTTGGATGACCAGCTCTCTTCCCCCTGTGGTAGCAACCTAGGCTTCAAACCTGCATGACTGTCTGGAAGCAGTGTTTCTCAACCTTGACAATTTTAAGGCATGTGGACCTCAACTCCCAGAATTCCACAGCCAGCAATGCTGGCTGTGGAATTCTGGGAGTTGAAGTCCACATGCCTTAAAATTGTCAAGGTTGAGAAACACTGGCTCTGGAGGTATAGGGACACAGTGAGTAGCACTGCAATGTGATCTAGCTGAGGCACACTGTATCCAGTTTTCCATCCTTTCTACCCCCCAGAGTTTGAATGATCACTTGCATAAGCCTGATCCATATTGGCTCAATATGAAAAATTATGGCCGGCTCCCGGAGTCTCTGGGAACGAAGGCTGATAGAGTTGGGGGGCGGCGGGGTGGGGGTGGAATTACTTGGCAAACCCAGTTGAAAAGATCAGAGGCTGCTGCCTCCGGTCCTGGTGACCAACCCAGATTGGATCCTCCAGATGAATCTTTGCCTGCAATCTGAAATCATGATAGCTTAGACAATATACAGTAATTCAGGCACAGACTGATGCCTTCCTCCCTCAAAACCAAGCCCCAGTGATTGTATTTACCACAAGTGAGATCTGATTGGTTGATGAGGTGGACTCTAGATTTGACGAGGAGGAGGATGACGAGGATGACGATGAGGAAGAGACAGAATTCCCTTCTGAGATCCTCTTCCGCTTCCGTTTAGGAACGATGCTGTTGTTTTCTAGTGGCATTTCAAAGGAGAGCAAGAGTTTTAACTGGGATGATTCTTCTTCTTTGTCTCTAACATCTTCTCCATAAATGTAATGGACAAGCCTCCAGAACATTAGCTATGGAGAAGTGGTGTGCTAGAGGAGGAGTTAAGAACCTCTTCTCCTCTACTTCAAACCATACATTCCTCATACAACATTTTAGCAGAGACACAGTACTTAGATGAGGCTTCCCTAACCAGCTTCCGTACCTTCTGGATACATGGGATTGCAGCTTCCAGAATTCATAAGTCATTTGGCTCAGGAACAATGGGAGCTGAACGCTTGGTTGGAGACGGCATATCTGGGATTTTGGCCTCTACCACATAATGACTGCAAAGGTCTCAGACATCCCAGCCCCATATGCCAGTTGTCCCCAGGATGATGCTAGTCATCATCCATTCCCACAACATCTGGCGTGGGCTCATGGTAGTTGTAGTCCAACGCTTCTGAAAGCAAGAGGATGGAGAAAGCTGCCAAGTAGGTGCCCTCAGAGGACAGTCTTCCTGGAGCAGGGAATTAAAGACCCCGTGGCTGCCTTGGTTTGTTTCTTTGTGGCTTATCATATTGCTATGAGCTCAACACAGTTGCCTCAATTATGGATTGTACAAGCCTAGAAAATGGATTTGGTCAATAACCAAGTTAAGTAACTTGGTTGAACTGATTTGTTAATGACCTACCACCTTCTCTCTGGCTGAATTCATATAATGCACTTAACTTGGTTACTGGCTTAATCTGCTTTTGCACAATACATTAGACCATGAATTACCTGAATGGGTTGGGCTTCTGCAAAAACGTAACTCACCAAAAAAGAAAACTAACCAAGGTTGAAGCTAACTAAGCTTAGCAAATTCTGCAAACGCAGCCGCTGTCTAATTCAATGTTTCTGCAAACCCAGCCAGCAAAGATCCACAAAAGGAAGGGCTTGTTTCTCTTGGATACAAGCCTGTAATCTAATCAGACGTATTCCCGAGCAGATGGTGTCCATTGGGAGTAGTATTTTGTCCTGATTTCCAGAAAACGATCCTCTGTCTAAAGGGCTGTCAAAGTCAGCTTTAAGATAACATTTAAGAGTAAAGCAGAAGAAACAGAAAAAAACAGGCATCTGCAGGGAAGGTTTAAAACAAGTCAGAATTTTAACCGTGGCTGCAGAAAGGAAGCCCGGCTCCTTTTTTACATATGCCATCTGCTCACAACTGCCATTTTGGCTTTTCTGACTTCCCTTGAAGATATTCCTGGCGAGAGGCCCTTATCTTGATCCTTTTTAGTGAAATCATCTGGTCCGAATGACAGTACAGTATTCCCATTTAAACCCGGGACGGTCCTGAACCTCATTTTTATGGCTCTTATGCCAAAAACTAACAGTATGGTTTCTCACTGTTTTGAGTTGCAGAATGCAGAAACACTCTAATCCTAGTGTGACCCAGGTCCCACGGGAATGGGACAATTCACCACACGACAATTCAATGTGGCCAATTTGCCGCAGCACTCGCCATGGGACAACTTGCCATGGCCAATTTGACACGGGACTCGACACGGGACAACTCGACGTGGCCACAGGAAGGCCACTGTAGAGCAGAAGTGGAACTGCAAATTCCAGTAAGCTCGACGATGGCTGCAGCGGTGCTGGGGGAAGAGGGAGAAGCGCCTGTCCAGGGCAGCCAAGATGGGGGAAGCACACCTGTCCTTTGTTGTGGCAGCATCATTCTGGCTTGCACTCCCTTCTCTACCGGGAGAAGTTGGAGGTTGAAAATGATGCTCAGTGGAGAAGGAGAGCTCCCATGGCTGTGCAACACCAAGGATGCTCCGTAGCTGACTTTCCCTCCGGTCTCGCTTGTGCCAGATAAGCTGCCCCCATCCTGTGGCTGCGTCAATTCCACTTTGAGTTGTCCTGCAGCAAGTTGGCACATCGAGTTGTCCCACGATGAGTTGGCCAAGGTGGGTTGACTGCGGCAATTTGGCCATGGCAAGTCGTCCTAGATCCCCTTTTGGAGTCACTGCCCTTCAGATAGATCCTTTGGGTTAAGTGTAACCTGTCCCTTTGCAAAGGTTGCCTGCCTATCTTTTAATCAACCAGAATTATTTCCTGCTAGACATGTCCATGTACAAATCAGGGTCTACTTGTATTCAGTTTTCTCTAGACCAAAACAGACTTCATCCTGTAAATCCTTACGTTTTCCAATCCTTCCCGTTGAGGCTAAAGTAGCTTTAGGAATGGGAGCAATTATGAGCAAAAATGCAGCTGGAGGGGAAAGTTAAACATTCATTCTTGTCTTACCCTCCCCCCACACTCTCTTGAGCGAAAGGAAGTTTTAATTCGTCGGTTAAATACTTGTCAGTAAGTCTGACGTCCAAAGGTGAGGACTCCCAACAGACGGAGTCTGTAATTAGTCTGTAATTACGTCTTGTTGACATATAGTAAGGTGCTCATATCGTTTTTACAATATTTGTGTTATATCCGGGTAATATTTACCTAATTTAGAGTACCCTCAAATATGCTTTAGAACACAAAGATTATTCAAGATGTGGCCTATCTTTCCATCTTTTTTTTCATTTATTTTTCTTAAAAAACTAAGAGTCAGTGGGCATCATGTCATGGTATTATGGGTGCCTTAGGAACACGCAAGCCTTACATCATTCGCCTTCCCTTTAAGCAGATACTATTTTTAGAGATACAGCAGAAATGAAATCAGTTATTTTCATTCCCTTTGCCCTGTCCAGGATATTGGAGATGCTTTCTTCTATGAAGAACCCAAATCTTTAAATATCTCATTGGAAGCTTCCTGAAATGTGGACCAATCCTGCATAATTTAAAAAGAATCATAAGGCTCCTTTTACATGACTATCAAGAGGGACCCAAAACAAATATCTTTTTTTTTAAAAAAAAAAAAATCTCCTATTTTCCTATTTTTCACCTTACCTGGTGGTTTGGCCTCAGGACCTACGTCTGCAAATGGCCTGAATGGAAAAAGAAGAGTATGAATGAGATGGCATTTAGAAATTAAGGTTGATGACAATGCTTAAAAATATCTCCACCTGCTACCAGCTAATACTGATACTCTAGATCAGGGCTTTTCAACCAGTGGTACGGGTACCACCTGTGGTACATTGGCACCTGGCAGGTGGTACGTGATCATCCTAGAAAAGTAGTGGGGGAGGGGAATGAGCTGAACTGGTGGCAGCACCGCACAAGCCTAAGCGAGAGATGGCTGGAGCTGCAGGGCTGTCAGGGCTCAGCGGAAGCACCAGGATCAGTGCCAGGCTCCAGCTGGGCCCAGAAGAAGCAACGATCAGCTGGAATGTTGCAGCATCTCATTTCATTTTTTCATTTTCATTTTATTAAATTTATACCCTGCCCTTCTCCCGTAGGACTCAGGGCGGCTTACAGCCAGTTAAAAACAATTTAATACAATACAATAGAAGTTTTAAAAATCATTAAAAATAAATATATAATCGGCCGCTACTACTAAAATTTGGCTAAAACCAATTTAAAATACCCCTAGGCCAGTCCTGCCCGCTGGAACAACCAGGTCTTAAGGGCGCGGCGGAAGGANTCTCTGTGGGAGCGTATCGGCCGGTGGGAAGCAATCTGTGGCAGAAGGCGGTCTCGGATATAACCAGGTCCAATGCCATGGCGCGCTTTAAAGATGATAATCAACACCTTGAAGCGCACTCGGAAGGCCACAGGCAGCCAGTGCAGCTCGCGCAGTAGCGGCGTTACGTGGGAGCAACGAGTCGCTCCCATCACCGCTCCCGCGGCCGCATTCTGGACTAACTGGAGCCTCCGAGTGCTCCTCAAGGGAAGCCCCATGTAGAGAGCATTACAGTAGTCCAGGCGGGAGGTGATTTACATTCAGGGTCTTGTGATTTACATTCAGATGCTTGGCAACTGATTCATATTTATGACGGTCACAGTGTCCCAGGGTCATGTGAAGTGACCAAAACCTGCTGCAACCACCCAGCAGATGGGGAATAAAAACCAAACACCCCCCCACCCCACCCCCACTGCCAATCCTCAACAGAAATGCTCACAACAATGAAAACCTCGGACAGGAGGAAGAGCGCCGCTGGGCGGGCAGGCAGGTGTCTTGCTCGGCTGTGGCTTGGGGGGCACTTTTTTCAGTGCCATTGTAACTTCGAACAGTCACTAAGCAAACTGTTGTAAGTCGAGGACTACCTGTACTTTATCACTTTTTTCCTTTTTTTTTTTTGGATATCATCACGTTTTTGACACCTTGCTAGGTGACTGGTGGTACTCGGATATTGCCATATCCTAAAAGTGGTACAATGGGTGAAAAGGTTGAAAAGCCCTGCTCTAGATGAATCGATCAATCAGAATAGAGCTGGAAGGGACCTTGGAGGTCTTCTAGTCCAACCCCCTGCTCAAGCAGAATGCCTGGAGATTTGGAAGTTTGTATGAAACATTCTTCTAAATCAGGGTTATGAAACCAGAAAGCTAATGATTATTAGCTGTGGGCTTAATTTCAGTCAGTTCCGGCACTGATTTCAAAAGCTTTTGCAAGAGAGCAGCTCAAATCTTTCTCATCCTCTGTGCCAGCTGGTTAGGGCAGAAAAGAGGGACTCAGGAAAAGAGGAAAAAAAGGATACCACAAAGAAAAGGAGTTTTGTCACCTGCAGGTAAGTTCTCAACTTATGACTGTTTGTTTAGCAACCATTCAAAAATTATGACAGTGCTGACAAAAGTGATTTAAGACCAGTCTTCGCATATTTTTGACTACCACAGCCTCTCTGCTATGATCATAATTTGGGTGTTTGGCAACCAGCACGAATTTATAACAGATGCACGTCATCGCCATTTACAATCTTCCCAGGGAGCTTCTGACAAGCAAAGTCAATGAGGGAAGCTGGATTCAGTTAACGATCGTACAATCCACTTAACGACCGTAGCAAGAAGGTCATAAAATCGGCCATGACTCACTTACTATCTGTATAACGTAGTGACAAAAGCCATGTCTCCAGTCCCAATCGGGTTATAAACTGAGAACTATCTGTATTCTGACTCAGGTTTTGTCATTGATAACTTATCCCCATCTACCATGTGTCCCCCCCCAAATATACATCTCTTGTCCAAAGAAATTGGCTAAACATTGACTATAAAAAAAAACCCCAAAGCTTCTAAAAATGCCATGCATTTGAAATTAAGTTAGGTTAGCAAAATATAATTAGTATATTGTACCCCAAACAAATAAATTATATTACAGCTTCTATTTGTTAGTCAAATCTAGTATAGGTGGTCCTTGACCTATGACCACAATTGAGCCTCAAATTTCCATTGCTGAACAAGACAGTTGCTAAGTGAGTTTGGCCTCATTTTACAACTTTTCTTGCCACAGTTGTTAAGTGAATCACTGCAGTTGTTAAATTAGTAACACGACTGTTAAGGGAATTTGGCTTCCCCATTAACTTTCCTTATCGTGGATAGTGGATTAGTATTTATATGTTACTTATACGTAAGGGTGTAGGTATATACATGTCGTATATAGTATGTTTAAATGTGTGTTATGTATGTGTACAGTTTGAGAGAAAGCAACTAAATTTCATTTTTAAGGTGTGCCATTGTGCCCACAGTAAAAAAAAAATGACAATAAAGGTTATCTATCTATCTATCTATCTATCTATCTATCTATCTATCTATCTATCTATCTATCTATCTATCTATCTATCTATCAGAAGGTTACACAAGGTGATTACGTGACTCCAGGACACTGTAACCATCATAAATATGAGCCAGTTACCAGGCATCTGAATTTTGATCACGTGACTATGGGGAATGCTGCAATGGTCGTAAATGTGAAAAATGGTCATAAGTCACTTTTCTCGGTGCTATTGTAACTTCGAATGGTCACTAAATGAATGACTGTAAGTCAAGGACTACCTGTATGTTGTGCAAATCCAGCCATTAAGTAGCCAGCAAGAGCAGACTGACAGTAGAATCAGTGACCTGCAGAGAAGACGGGTTCAAGCCCTGACTAGACAAAGATATGTCAGGAAGGCTTTAGTTTGGGCTGTTGCATTGAACAGAAGGTTAGTCATTGGATGGGGGGGGGGTGGAGATGGTTCCTTTCAACTGGAGGATTCTGTGTGTGAGACACTATTGGGGTAGCTTAGCCTTGGATATGCCTAGCATTAGTAATATGCTGATGGTCCCAGATCCAGATCACAATATTGAAACTGAAGAGAGCCTTGGGGAGCAGGTGATGGGAGGAGATCTCAGCCCAGCCTCTGCAGATCAAACCGTCAAGCACAGTTGCTCTGTATTAAGCTTTTCTAACCTAGATAGATAAATGGTCTGCTGGTACAAAGACAGATTTAAATATTAAACGTCTTACTTTTGCTAATGTAACCTTTGGCAAATATGTTGGCACAGCAATCTCACAACTCTCTTTGGTGGGATTCCAGGAACCGCTGCCCTGGAAGTTTCTGGTACTGGGGTGGGGGGTGGGTGTTGATTCAATGAACTGTGTAGTTATATTTTAATGCCAGTAGAGGGCACTGTGACTTTACAGATCAATTAAACCAGCATAGAAATAATTGCAATAAGTAAATTCTGTAAGATTAAAAGGAAGGTTGGGAATGGAATCGTACTGGAGCTGGCTAGTAATTGCCATCCGGATCCGGTCACGTGCTTTCAGAATCTTCTCTAGCCGATGGATATCGTAAGTATTGGGATTCCGAAATGGGATATCGTCCGGCAAACCAGTCACTTCGATGGCATCAGGCGTGTCCCTGATCAGTTTGTAGGGTACCAGAACAGGTCGGTTCAGGCCTAAAGCTTCCCCTGAAACAAAACCAAAGAATTTTCACTATCACATCACAAAACAGAAGAAACCCACCTTGCTTCTCAATCTTATTCGTAGTTTCCACAATGTAAAATAATTCGTAGTTTCCACAATGTAGTCCTTGACTTACAACCACAATTGAGCCCAACATCTCTGTTGCTAAGCAGCACAGTTGTTCAGCGGTTCGCAGCCCACTTTGTGACCTTTTTGCTACAGTTAAACGAATCACTGTGGCTGTTAATTGTGCAGTCGCTAATCTGTCTTCCCCCCTTGACTTTCCTTGTCGGAAGCCGCTTGGAAGGATTACAGAGGGCGATCACACGACCCTGTGACAGTACAACTGTCATAAATACACACCAGTTGCCAGGCACTAGACCACAAGGATGCTGCCACGGTAGTTAAGTGTGAAAACTGATCATCTTCCTTTTTTTAGTGCTGTTGTAACTTCAAACAGTCACTAAACCAATGGTTTAAGTTGAGTACTATGTGTACGCTGAACCCTAAACTAACTGAATAAGCCAGGGGTAGGCAACCTTGGCTCTTTTATGACTCGTGGACTTCAATTCCCAGAATTCCTGAGCCAGCACAGCTGGCTCAGGAATTCTGGGAGTTGAAGTCCACGAGTCATAAAAGAGCCAAGGTTGCCTACCCCTGGAATAGGCTGAGTGTGGACAACATGATAAGTCGCAGATAACTGACTTATCAAGCTCAGAACTATTAAAGCTAAATTAGTGGTGCCAAAGTATCCACTAGATCTCTAACTGAGCTGATTGTCAGATGAATGCAGGATTTGAAAAGTTGTTTTTTTTTCAAATAAAGCAGGTAACAGCATTTCAACAAGAATTGTGTTGGGAGGATGGAAGGCTTAAATCTGGCTTCTCCCCAGGAGTCTTTATATAAGGTAACAAACCACTGAAAATGCTGTTCTTTACAGGTAGTTCTTGCTTACTGACTCTGCCTTGTTCGAAGCTTGAAGCTACAAATGGTTGAAAAAAAAACACCCCCACTTTGCAACCAATCCTCACATTTACAGCCATTGCAGTATTGCACCCTCACGCAATCACACGAGTTTTACAACCAACTTCCAACCAGCAGAATTAATGGAGAATGTGGAAGTGAAATTGCAAGTTGTGGCCACAGGATGTGTCACTTAACAACCATGGTGATTTGCTTTATAAAGGAAGTGGAAGCAATGTGATGAGTCCAGTGTGCTCTTGTGGGTTTTTTGTTTTTTGTTTTCCTTAGCAGCTGTAGCATTTAGTAACGCAGTTGCCGTTCCCAATTATGGTTGGTAAATGAGGACTACCTGTATATGATTTGCACCCTTTCGATCACAGAGTTCAAGGTAGTGCTAGTAGCTTTCCTCATCGGCAGCTTTTGCATTAAGTCTCAGAAAAGCCTTGTGGAAAAGATGAAGCAGAGACGTAGCGACCAGCCAGCCCACAATTAGGGGTCAAGGAACCAGAAATCCAGACTGAGAGATCTGCTTCTTTTGAACCATGGATCCAGAACTTCCAGCTGTGCTTTCACCATTTGCCCCCCCCCCAAACCTACAAGACAATCGAGCCTTATACTCAAAATAGAGCAACCCACCATATTTTTCATTGAACAGTTCTTTCACTTGCTCTCGGAGAATCACCTTCTCGCCCAACCGGTTTGCATCATCCTCATCTGCCGAGGAAGAAAAGGCCACATGTTTAGTAGTTCTTTCTCATGAGTATTCCAAGAGAATAGCGTAGCAGAGAAGATGTTGGACCAAGAGTGGCGGGTCCAAGCCTACCCTCACTCATTGGAAACTCACTGGATAAATTTGGGCTGATCATTCTCTCTCAGCCCTACCTATCCTATAGGTTTCCGGCAGTGAAAAATTGGGAGGAAAATGCATTGCCATTTTGTGCTCTAAGTGTCTTCAGTGGTTGAGGATTTGGGGGTGTTCCTGTGCTTCATGTTCTCAAATGTGAATTTAAACATAACTTTATGAACACATATTACAATTTGCGGGTGTTTCCTGTCTCAAACAGCAAGAAAACCTGCCTCTGACTTTCAGCAAGTTTGGTTTTGAAGATACTGCTGGAACTGTAGGTAGCTTTGGGTCTTGGATTGCCACAGATGGACTAGAAGACCCTTCTCCAACCTGTGTCCTGAGTCTTTAGGATTCAGAACTCTTAGGCAGCATGGGAGATACAGAGTAGCCCCCTATGGAGGGCATCACAGGAGTGTCTGGTCAATGAATATGCAATCAACAAAACAATCTTCCTGACATTTAAGCCAGGAGTCCGCCGACTATAGGGGGAGGTCATCCCAAAGATGCTTTTTCATGAGGCAACTGGACTTGAAAGTCCAGTTGCCTCGGGAAAAAACATCTTTGGGATAACTATGACCTGGATGACTGAGAATCTCCATAGATATGTAGGGGGAGGCGCTTATCTCCGTTTCAAGGACATTGAGCCAGCGGTCTCCAAAGACATTTCCACATCATGGAAGCACTGTTACCTTCCCACCACAGTGGTACCTATTTATCTACTTGCATTTGCATGCTTTCAAACTGCTAGTTTGCTAGGAGCTGAGGCAAGGACGGGAGCTCACTCCATTGAGTGGTGCTTGGGTCTCGAACCTGAACTGCCAACTTTCCAGCCAAAAAGCCCAGCGTCTTAACCAATGAGCCACTGTGCCACCCCCTTTAGGCCAGAAGGATGTAATTTAAGCTCCAGAGAAGTTTCAAAAGCTTTGGATGCAGCATCCGGACTTTCCATCCAGACACCAGGTTGTTCTTTAATGGAATAGAAAGGGGAAATCATTCCAGACATAGCTAGAGAATGATCATATTCAATCAACTGAATAAATGGAAGGAAAATAAACAGCTTTTCTCAGAGTCCTGTTGCACTAAGGGCCAACATACTCCTGTCAAAGATCAAGCATTCCTACTACCTGTCTTGATAGAAGAGAATAATTGTAGTTCGGGGTTGAACTGTGGAGTCTTTGGTGCTCTCTGAGCTTGGTTGTTTTCTTGCAGGCCTTTCATTACCAAACTAGGTAACACCATCAATGCTGCCTGCTAGCACTGTTATCTAGTTTGGTAATAAAATGTCTACAAGAAAACCACCAAGCTCAAAGATCACAAGGGACTCGGCACCATCTCTCTCTCTCTCTCTCTCTCTCTCTCTCTCTCTCTCTCACATACACACACACACACACACACACACACACTGCCCCCTTAAGACAAAGATATCCAGTTCCTACAACCAGCTCTTAGGTCAGGACACTGCACATTAACATCCTTATCTTTGGGTGATGAATTTATTCTCATAAAATCCTAGAATTGGAGGGAACCGTAAAAGCAAGAAGGTTTAGGGCCCATTTTGGGCACCAGTTTTAGTACTTCCCCCTTGAACATTTTTTCCTTACCCTGCAAGAAAGTATGGTGAGGCTAGAAAAAAAAAAACAAGTGAAGATAGCCAGGATAAAATCTAAGCTGTATTTACTTTTTCCATTTAAACTTATTTAAATGGGATTCTTATTCACTTCTAATGAAACACCAACTTAATTAAGAACAATTAATATGATTACTCCCAGGGTATTTAATACATTTCATCTTCTGCTTTACTAAAAAATTAAAATTCAGTGGCAACTTTCAATTTCTGGGGATTACATTACAGAATCCCTTACAGAAGGACTACACTGTCTGATCCTGACTCCATTGCCCAACCAAATCCCTACTCGAAAACAAGAACCCACCACCCAATTAGATCACTGGCTGTATTGCTACAGTGCTCAAAACACACGCAACGTCAGATGTTCCTCTGTACTCCATGTGAAATCTTATCTGCTATGGGTACTCCTCAACTTACAACCATTTAGTGACCATTCAAAATTCCAACGGCACTGAAAAAAGTGACTTATGACTGTTTTTCACATAACCATTGTAGCATCCCATGGTCAGGTGAGCAAAATTAGGATGTTTACCAACTGGTTTGTATTTATGACGGCTGCAGTGTCCCGGGGTCATGTGGTCACCTTTTGTGATCTTCTGTCAAGCAAAGTCAAGGGGGAAGCCAGATTCACTTTACAACCATGTTACTAACTTAACCACTGCAGTGATTCGCTTAACAACTGTGGCAAGAAAGATCGTAAAATGGGGAAAAATTCACTTAACAATTCTCTTGCTTAGTGATGGAAATTTGGGACTCAATTGTAGTCATACGTAGAGGACTCCCTGTATACCTTAAGGTCCTAAGATCTAGTCTTGTGACTCAGACAACAGAATGTGTTTGTTCTCACATTCATTTCTCTCCAGTGTGCTACCCTAGAAGGAAGGGAACTGATAAGGGCTCAAATGTATACTGCAAACAGCTCAAGTTATCTCCTGGTTCCCCAGCAATGATGGCAAATATTTAGTTAAAATTAACTGAAAAAGCTCTGCTGTATCCTATTGAATCAGTGGCCAATGAGCAGTTTAAAAAATGCTTCTATTTTTTTATGGATCTTTTTGTTCAAAGAAAGCCGATGTGAGATTTAACACTCCTTTTACCCAGTTCTGTCATCACCTTACAAACAAAATCTTTAAACTCTCCCTCATTTTATTCTTTGCAACAACTGCGATAGTGACCAGCCCAAAATTACCAAGAAAGCTCCTTGGTCAAGCAAGGATTTGAATCCAGATTTTCTTGGTCTTAGTCTAATACTTTAACTACTGTAATAACATTCTCTCTTGAGGTTCAAGTATAAGATTTTTTCCAACACAGCTTGAAAACTCCCGCGATTAAAACCTGTTTTAGGAGCAATTCTAAAATTTTAGAATTAAGAGGGGTGCCAATAGTCAGGCAAAGCTTTTGAAAGCATAAAAATATGCATGTTTGTAATGGAGTAATGCAAGCTATCTTAAGGAAATAGGTTAAAGAACAACTGAACATTTTAGTTCTTCAAACGTGGCTGTTTAGAGAGGGTGACAATGCATAATAAAAGTATTTTTTTTATTACGGTCACAGACCAGCATTACAAATAAGGAGCATTAAAAAAATAATAGTAATAGGGAAAAAGACAAGATAATATATTACAATTAGTGGTGGATTATCAATGGGCAATCAAAGTCTGCCTAATTTTGCAGACAATATAATAACATTTACCTATATTCAAAAAGACTACATCGTACTGATATGATAATAGCAGTTGTATGTAAAAAAAAAAAAGACCGATGTTCCCCAGTTATTTTATCAAGTGAGGTGTTAACAAGTGGTCTGTGAGTCCCTATAGATATAGAAGATATAGTATAGTACAGGGGTAGGCAACCTTGGCTCTTTTATGACTCGTGGACTTCAACTCCCAGAATTCCTGAGCAAGGCTGGCTCAGGAATTCTGGGAGTTGAAGTCCACGAGTCATAAAAGGGCCAAGGTTACCTACCCCTGGTATAGTAGGATGTGAGCAGATGACAATGCAGATGGAGTACAAAGACAACCTATTGTTGCTTTGGGACCATGATGGGTCAAGAATGGGATTCAACTTGATTTAGAAATGGGATTCTATCTATGGCAAGAAAGCGTTCCTGCACTGTATTGGGTAGTCTATAGGGGAAGATCGGTTGATTTAATGAAGAAGGGCCTAAAATCAGAATGGCAGAAGAATAAAAACTAACATGGATGTGGAAACTATCAGACAGGATTTGAGCAGGTGCATACTCAGACGGTCCAAATGTCAAGATGGCCATCATGACCATGTGAATGAAACCCCGGCTCCATTTAAAGTGGTGGGATTTTGATCATGTGATTATGGCATCAACTTGACTCTTTGGACTCGTCCCCTTGTGGACATATTTGGATCAGTGGAGTTTAAAACAAACCAACAAAACTTTTATTTCTCTCTTAACCCAATATTTCTTCCATCAAAATCCTCATACCTTACCTACTCACTAAGCCCTGTCGTCCACGAATGGAATTAATAACGTTCTCAAGAGCGATGGATGTTTAGGGAAATGCTAACGGAAAGAACCACAGTCTCATCAAGGCCATGGGAGGCTCTCCCCAATTGCTTTTAAGTGACCAATTAATAAATAGATAAAATTAGAAATACTGATTGGATTCATCCCAACATTCTCTTGTTTGGAATTACGAATTTCCCTTATCTTGCCTACTTTCGCCTTTGGGCAAAGCTTTTGAGAATTTCAGAAGACGAGCTTCTTTCTGGACTGTTTCTCCCAGCACTGTTCCATGGGACTCACATTAAAGCTAACATAAGAGATCTTATCTGTCTGGCTTCCAAGGGCTGGACAAGCTGCAGGGATGGTTTTGGGAAAAGAAGTGTGAACCAATCGAACAGAACTCAACAACGTCTTTTCCTCACTCAGCCCTACTCAATTCATTTTGGCAGAGTGTAGGTGGTAGCAGACAAAAGCAATGCAGAATAAAAATGTAAAACTAGGCACGTTACTGAATTTCATACACTCAGGCCAGTTACGAACAACGAACCATCAATTCATTATAGCCAAGAATTCGAAAATACTCTGGGTACATAAATATTACATATGGATTCTTGCAAGGATATGATTTCTAAAGTTCATCCCAATGGACCTTCGTGTACAATGGGATGTAGAACATAGACTAACAGGGGTGGAAAGGATCTTGGAGGTCTTCTAATCCAGTGGTTCTCAACCTGTGGGTCGGGACCCCATTTGGGGTCA